GTAAATAATATTTACCCAGTATAAATACATTGTTGTTACCACAGTTGTTAAAACCAATCTAAATATCCCAAATTAGATTTCTTTTGAAAGAGAGCAGGTAGTTGAATCCCTTCCAATTGGATCCACAACTGAAAGTCAAACCAAAACCTCTGAACCATCATGTAGTAAAAAAAAAGAAAAGATGATCCAAGTTCCCACTTTCTGTCTCACCAGAAGTACAGTTCCCCTTAGTCTCTCTCAAATTTAGTTCTTAAAAGTTATTTAGTTACATTTAAGACTTACTCACTCTGGTGGAACTTTTACACTTAATATAATAACATCTTTCTTTACTCTCTGACTGCATTTTTACCTCATAAATGTTAAGAATTATTCTGATTAATCAAAAAAATGTAGAATAAGACAAATATGTATTTAAAAAACATAACTGATATTATTTTGGGGAAGTTCCAGAAAACAAAAAAGTGTATTTCTGTGCTTTGTGACTTATTGTTGCTAACTAAGAATACACTTAAATACTTTGATTCAAGACAGATAAATAAAGGGATGAATAGATGGATGGATAGAGGAATAGATTTTCATATATTTGGGCTCATCTGTGTATTTTATTTTCCGCTGTGCACTTTGGGGGATGAGTCTTGGGCTGGTGCTGCGGTTCTTGATGAGTTTATTGTTAAGTGGATCAGACTAATTTTCAGGGATTCTTCTCAACTTTGACAGCTTCCTTCTCTCTGACAACTCCAGAAAGTAGAACTCCGACCCCACAGCATCAGGAGCCTGTTGCTGTCAGCCACCCTCAAAATCTGATGAAAGTAACTCCAAAACCACACACACACACCATGTAAAGACAACCACACTATATAATCTATAAAAAAACAGATTAAAAACAGTGTAAGGGTACACAAATATATACATGAATTATCTCAAAATTGTATGCATTTATTAGAAAATTAGAAATAGCCAAAACTGAATCTGAGGAGACCAAATAAGGCTGTAAAAATGAATAAAGTTTAATTTCTCTCTGGGAAAAATCAAGTGTTTCTTAATTTAATTTAGTAAAAATGAATAAATAAATAAATAAA